GGGGGAGTCGGCGGGCTGGGGGTCAGTGGGGAGTTGACGGGCTGGGGGTCAGTAGATGGGGGAGTCGGCGGGCTGGGGGTCAGCAGATGGGGGAGTCGGCGGGCTGGGGGTCAGCAGCTGGCGGGCAGCAGCACCTTGATCTCCTTGCGCCGGCTGTCCTCGTCCTCCTCGTGCTCCACCACGCCCTGGCTCAGGTTGGTGTAGTTGGCCAGCTTGTTGAGTAGCGAGGACACCATGGGGTTGCTGTCCATCTCCTCCTGTGGGGTCAGCACTGCTGAGCACTCGCGGCTGGGGAAGGTCACTTGGTCCCCAGCTGTAACTCTCCAGGACCACTGGGCCCCCGCCCAACTCCACCTCCTGCTTATCCCCCTGGAGACCCTCCTGGAAGCGGCTGTGGTCCGGGAGGCACAGGCCCTGGCACAACCTGGGTCAGAGGTCGGAGGTCAGAGGCAGGCCTCCTTCACAGGCATGGCCTACATGGAGGGGCTGGGCAGCCACAGAGCGAAGAGGTGGGGGTCTCTGCGAGGTGCAGCCTTGCCCACAGTTCCCCATCCGTCCCCTTCCTCCAGGGTTACCTCAAACAGGGCCATGTTCTTCCCTTCCAGAAAGTTCTCCCGCTCCGCCTCCACATTGCTGATGAAAGGGCTGGCCTCCCTGGCAGTGCCATCTCCTGTTGGGGACAAGGTGGTCACGTGCAGTGAGGCTGGCGATGAGCCACCACTCCTACCTCACCTCTCAAGGGAAATCCACACCCAGCACGTCCCTCCAGGCTGTCAGGTCCACAGCTGGGCAGCAGTGGGCACATGTGCCACCCACCCACATGCTCCGTCCACGTCAGACACACAGCTCATTCATGTCAGACACACACACACCGTCCACGTCAGACACTGTCCACAGCAGACACAGCACATTTCCATCAGGTGCACACACTGTCCACTCCCGTCAGGTGCACACACTGTCCAGGTTGGGCACCTTGTCCATTCCCTTCAGGTGTGTGGCCCATTCACAGTGGTCAGTCCCAGAAAAATCACTGGGAACCTGAGACTGGTGAATACCGAGCCATATATGGGGAAATCCAGGTCAGGCGCCCACAAGTCTCTGCCCCGCAGAGCAGGTGCCAGTCCTGTGCAGACCCCTCCCTGAGCATACACCGTGGGCACACACTGTCCACACCAGTCAGCAGCATGTGTGGGTGTGTGCACATGGAACCCTCTGATGGTACGCACAACCAGGGATTGGGGGACCCATACAGATGGCTGCCTTCAGACAAATCCCACCCGGGGTGAGGCAAACCCTCACACGCAGACATGGACATGTCAAGGAGTTCACGTCACACAGGCCCACTGTCACTGCCCACAGAAACATCAGGCAAGAAATCAAGGCACATTGCAGCGGCCAAACCTGCTGTCCATACAGGAATTCTTGAAAGTGCTGAAAAGCAAGGATGTCAGCTTAAAGACTAAGGTGCATGCGACCTAAACCATGGCCTTTTCCACAGCTTTGATGTACGTAAAATTCGGATGGTGGGAAAGGAAGAACGAAGAATTTCATTCTCTGCCTGGTGTTAGTGAAGGGCAGTGAATGTCCCCTAGACTGCCGGGGGGCCACCCTCAATGAAGTGGACTGAGTGTCTGTGCTGATGCGTTAATGCAGCAGTGAGTGAGGGTCCTGCCCTGCTGTTAATACAGTCACTGCAGTCAGAGCCGCCTTGTGGCCACTAACATGAGACTCCAGGTTTCTCACCGTGCCCACATGGATGGGCAGCCCCAGCAGTGCATGAGGCTGGCCTCTGGGGTCACGGCAGATTTAAGAAGTCATGAATGTGCACGCAAAGCCCACCACCCCGGGGTCTCCTGTAACCTGGTCATTCCGGGCCAGGAAAGCGTGGTCCCAGCAGTGACCCCGGAGACCTGGCCCCGCAAGGCTTCAATACAGTCATAAAGTCACAGGAGCTCAGTCCTCTCCTCACGGCCTCCCTAAGAGGCCATCCACTGTCGGCTGACCACACTCAGGCCACCACCTAGGTACAGAAAATCAGGAGCCAGGTGCCACTGAAGCCAACCTCTCAGAGCACATGTCCCCAACCTCTGCCACTTGGAGAGCATGCACCTCCACCTTGGCTACCCACAGACAGCAAGTGCCCCCACAGAGAGCTTGCACGCACCCCCACCTCACTGCCCACAGAATGCATGCACCCCACACCTCCACAACCCACAGACAGCACCCCACACCTCTACCACCCACAGAGAGCCTACACCCCCACATCTCCACCACCCACAGAGCATGCAGCCCACACCTGCATCACCCACAGAGAACATGTGCCCCCAGAGAGCTTGCACCCTTTACCTCACTGCCCAGAGTATATGCACCTCCACACCTGTACCACCCACAGAGAGCATGCACCCCCAC